AACAGCTTTAAGCAACACTATTGGTTTATTCTATGTTTCCTGTATAGCCTGTCATGGTTATACGTTTCCCTACTTGCTTACGTAGCATCAGGTATTTTTCAAGCAGTGATCGCCTTATCGTGCTTTTAGGTGCTTTTATTATCTGGTACGTTCCCTCATCCTAGGTTTCTGGTTCGTGTGTCGGCCACTGGCCTGGCCACACTGCAGAAGCCTGAATCAAGTTTCTGATAAGCAAGCATTTTATTCCAACATGAGACCAGAAGTGAACTGTGTGCTGGTGTAGATGCCATAATTTTGGGATAATATGATCATACTGGCTGGATACAATCAGTATTCTTACTGCCTTATTTTTATTAACTGAAGTTTCTGGAACATCTTCAGGAGCAGCCCCATGAATTACCTGTCGCAATAATCTACTCATGAGATCACTGCAGCATGGATTAGTTGGCTCACCAACTGTCACTGCTTAAAAGGGACTTTGTGCCAAAGAGGGATATAGGTAGTCCTTGACTTACAACCATTCGTTCAGTGACAGTTCGAAGTTATGGCAGCACTGAATGAAGGGACTTACGACTCATGCCCGAAGTTACAGCCACTGCAGTGCCCCCACAGTCACATGATCAAAATTCGGGTGGTGGCAGCCTGCTTTCACTTATGACCACAGGGATGCTTCAATTTCCCCCACTCACCTATCTCCTCCCCATCTATGCCCTTTTGGCCCCCTTTCCACCATGCTTCTGGGCCAGGCTGGGTCTGGGCTTTTTTGGGGGGAAAAAAAAAGCAAAAAGCAGCCTCCGAGCTGTGGCGTGCCAAAAAGCCCCTTTGTGCCATGCAGCAGGGCTGGGTCTGGGCTTCACAATGCAGGAAAAAAAAAGTAAAAAGTAGTCCTTCAGCCATGGCACACCAACAAGCTGTCTTGGCTGCACCCGCGGATCACAACTGCCCGGGAATTGCAGGGAAAGGATCCAGCGGAACTGAGCCAAACTGCAGTCTGACTTTGCCACCCTGCTCCTCCATTTGCCTCTTTTCCCCTCTTCCCAACCCTCATTCACCTGTTGGGTTTTTCCAGGATAAAAGCAGCAGCGCCCCCACCCCCAACCTTGTCGTTAGTCTAAGTCTGCAAGCAATGGCTTCCTCCCTTAAAAAACTGCTGCTGCCAAAGGAAAACCCAAGGAAATGAGGCAAACATGAATGGGACTCTGAGCTCCATGCTTCCTCCTCCCCCATCCAACCCTCTGATTTGGAAGAAAGACCTCAAAGAGAGTTCGGGCTTCGGGTTCCTCTCAGCCAACGAACACATGACCAGAGCAAATGCAGCCTCCCATTCGGGGCTCTGCTCCCGCAAGGATTGCCACCACCACTGCCTTCTTGGTCTCTTCATCCAAGGGGAGAGCGCCTGTCCCTAAAAGGCCACAATAGGGTGTGGATTCAACTTTTGCAAGATGCTTCTCTTTGGTGCCTTTTTTCACTGTGAGAAAAAAAGTAAAAAGCAGCCTCTGAGCTGCGACGCACTGAAAAACCCCTTTGGGCTTTGCGCTGCGCTGCAGGTCGGGCTGCTTTTTACTTATTTTCTGCAGGGTGAAGTGCAGCCTCAGCCTCTGGGGCTGTCTTTTGCTCCCCCCCCCCAGCTCAAAGCCCAGCCCCAAACTGGCCCAGCAGCCAAGCTGGGCACACCTCGTCAGCAGTGGAAGCAAGAAGATGGCTAATGTCAGCTGGGGCGGTGGAGTGCAGAGCAGCAGGGGGCCAAAAGGGCATAAATGGGGGGGAGATAGGTGGGGGGAATTGAAGCTCTCCTGCGATCATATGTGTGGGCAGCTGCCAAGCACCTGAATTTTTATCATGTGACCGCGGGGGCAGCCATGCTGCAATGGCTGTAACTTCAGGCACGGGTCATAAGTCCCTTCATTCCCCACCGCTGTAACTTCAAACTTCTAATAGCAAAGAGAATCATACAGAATGTGTGTGTAAATATACATACATACATATACATACATACATATACATACACACATATGAGTGCGCATTCCTTACATCATATGCGATTACTTGTGCACACCTTCCTTGCTGCTTTTGTTAAGGTTGAATATTAATGATTTCCAAAAACTGTCTATGCCGTTTGTGGTTGGCAGGGTAGGCACAATTCTGCCAATTGTTCTCTGGGGCAAGGTCAAACTTTCCAACAGTTTGGGAAGTGGGCCCAGGAAGGAAAATCACCTAAGAAATTTCAGCTGAGTACTTCCCAGAGGCCTCTTGCTCCAATTCCCCCTTATTTTCATATTTTTTTAGAAGTAAAAATTATATAGCCAAGTTTTGATAATACAAGTTGAATTCATTCTTAGAATATGGGGTTTTTTATTCACTTGTCAGTATGAAATAAGTACTTTGAGGCAGTTTATTCATATAGAGAGAATGAATTAGGACAAATTGTAGAACAAATATATAGAGAAATACTGAAATAATTGAGACTGAAAAGCTTGTAGCTGGATGGAGTTGAAATTCTCATAAAGAAAGAGTTAAGAAGTTTATAGAACAAAATGCCATCTACAATTGATGCATAGTTGTGTAGAAGCAAGGCAGAAAGTGGAAAAGATGAAATGTGTGTCCTCAAATTGTAAAGCAGATTCTCCCCCCTCTTGTATTTGTGTGGCAACACCACACACAAAAGTATGCAAGGGGTAGAGCTTGTGTCAGGACATCATGATGGACGTCTCATCATTTGGAAGTGTTGACTTTTGGGAAATGCACCTGAGGCAAGTATGGAGAAGCATGGTGGATGGTGTTGGTGTAAACTAGATTAAGGTGTATTTTTTCTTCTTATCCCGTGCTCTAATTTCTTTGGCTACTTATTTCTTATCCCTTTTCTACACTTGCAGAATGCTGCTTACCCCAAGGGGTATGTAAGTGCGAGTTTTTTAAAGGTGAGAATGGAATCAGTTGTCTCTCAGGCTTTCTGCTCCCCTTCCCCCTCTTAGTTCTGAAAAAAAAAAAAAAAAATTAACCCGTGCCACAAAGTTCTGTTATTTGGCCACCATATTTTGGTAGAGAGATCTCAAGGAACTGCAAAAGGGATGCTGAGGACTGCACAGGTCCTTGGCTGCCCATCTCTGCTTGTCCCAGATCTAACCATAATAAATCAGAATCAAGTGTAAGACTTTGTGGTCCTTTAATATACCTATTATATATTTTCACTGAGAAGGATTGCTCAAAGTCAGTGACATTTACACTAGGATGAACTCCTTTACGTTTTTTCCCATAGAGGCCACTTTAATTTAACAAGCGAGCTATTCTCCTCCTCAGATTCTTTTGGGATGCAGCCAATTTTAGTTCCACGTAGATGGCACTAGTTCTGCATGACAAGCTAAAAGCATCACTTGAATAAGTGGACATGTCATGGCTGAATCAGCTGGACCCCTTTGCTGGATTTTTCTTTTGTTGTTTTTAAAGGCGAGTGAATATTAAAGTGTCTCATGTTATTAAGTATTAAGATGACTCTGGACCCTGCGATTTACTTGCTCAGGTTAACTAAAGATGTAGTGTTGCCCGGCTCATGTTTTACGTCTGGTAAATAAATGGTTACCGTGGCAACTGCCTGGGAAGGTGGGAGGTCATTGGTATTATAGTACCTACATTTTCTTTAAACAAAACACAAGCCAAGCAAATTCCTCAGCCAGACTTTAGGCAAGAATAAAGGAAAAGGAAACATTTCAGACAGCTTTTTCCTTTGGTAAACTTGCTTTTCATTTCACAGGGTGAGAGAAATCTTTCAAAAAATGAGATGTCAGCCATGAAAAAGAGATGCCATAAGCGAAGGTTCCGCTGTAAGAAGGCCTCTGTCTCAAACAACTGTCTGAATGAGAAACAAATAGTTATTTACCTACAATTTATTATATAGCTAAGTTAAGATTACTGTTAGATATACGTGTTGGAGAATCACTCCTAAAATATTAAAATGACCAAATTAGAAGCTTGCTTTTATACTGAGTTTGTATTTCTTTGTCCTGCAGACAGACTTATTCTGTATATTATACATATCTTATGGTATAATTTTTCTGGTAACCCAATGTAAGCACAAACTTTTAGGAATGTTAGCATTGCTTGGACTATTTTCATCTTCTTCTCTGGAAATAAGACATGCACTAGGCAGTACATGATTCCCTTTCCTTGCTTGCTGACTCCACGTATTGGTAGAAAAGCCTCCATAGGTTTAACAAAATTGGTTGGATATGTATATTATTTTTGTTTGCTGTCTCGGATCTTATAAGACAGTATAATCATAATATCAATTCTCATATTTTGCTAAAATGTCTGAGGTTCAGGACCAGGACAGAGGTATATGCTGTATATGCCTTCCATGCTTATGATGTGGAAAAGTTAAAAAAACAAAAATGGGGATTTTGTTCCCCTCAAGTATTAATATTTAAGAGATCTTGACTATCACATGCCAATGGGTAATCCATTTATAAAGAAATTTACAAAGCTATCTTTTTTAAAACTTAGACCAGTGTTTCTTAAACTTTTTTCTCTCAAAACCCCTTTCCATTTTTAAAAATTATGGAGGATCTCAAAAGAGCTTTTGTTTGTATGGGTTGTATATATCAATATTTACCATATTAAAAATTAAAATTGATGCATTTACTGCCACTACCACTTCTCACAATTGTTTGATGGGATTTTAATATTATATTATTTTTCAACATAAGCTGCCAAATAATTTTAATTCCGCAACCTCTGAGAGGTTCTTGGGGGATCTCCAGGGGTCTTCAGACCACACTTTGAGAAACACTGACATAGACTTCTTGTCCCTTACGCCCAGTTTGTTTGTCCTGATTAATATATATGTATGTTTTAAAATAAACTGCAGTATTATTTCCATTTGCTAAATAAAAAAAAAGGTTGTTTCAGTGTAGAGACATAGAAAACTAAGGATTGTTTCAGCATTGTAAGCATTTGATTTTTTTTCCCCTTGTTTTTGCTCAGGAAATGAAGTTCTCCCTCCAGGAACTCCAGTTGGAAATGGACTAACATCAGAAGCTGCAAAAGATCTTGGGCTTTCTAAGGGGATTGCTGTAGCTGCCTCTCTTATTGATGCACATGCTGGAGGACTAGGTATTCTAAGATATAACAGTTGGTTTTGCCATGAAGGTGCTTGAGCTGTAAAAACTGCATCATAGTATAGGATCATTCTGTATTTTAAGTTAGATTGACCAAACAGATATAGTGATCTCATGTATAGACTATTGTAGTCCATTCCACATGGCGCTGCCTTTGAAGAAAACTCAGAAGTTCCACCTGGTCAAAATATGGCAGCTCTTCTGATAGCAGCATTACACCTATGCTGTGGTCACTGCACTGATTACAGGTTGCTTCCAATTCAGAGAGTTAATTATCATCTTTATGTGGTACCTACAAAACTGTCTTTCCTGCCCAAACTTGTCTTGTCCTGTGTGATCTCTGAGGGAGGGCTTGCTGAGGGTCACTATCCCATGGAAAATGAGAGAGGTTGGCACTCAATCAGGGGTCCTTTTCAATGGTCCTCCCAGTCCTTTAGAACATCTTGGCTCCTGAGATAAGGAATGCCACTAACCTCTTGGCCTACAATAAAACCTAGAAAACATGTCTATTCTACAGAGTGTATGGATGTCAATGATACTAGGACTACCTTATCTTAGTGAGATTAGACTGATAGGTTGCTGCTTTTACTGGTTGTTGTTGTTCTTGATTGTAAACCACCTCATGTCCTTTTGTGGAAGTGGGTAGGTTATAGACGATTGTATAAATAAATAAATAGACAAATAAACCTATTAAATATGGCTTATGGCAGGGAAGGCATTGAAGAAACTATTAAGAGGGAAAATATTTATTGATTTTATTACATCAATTTGTTTACAACCTCATAAAAGACTGTAGGCAGCCTACATCTAGTAAAACCCCAAAAAACATTATATTACACAGAAACTTCCATAAATAACATCTTACATCTCTTCTATTGGTATTACATCTCTAATTATATGGCACCTTCTGCTCGGAAAGTTGTATAAACAGTTCTACAGAAGAGGATATGAAAAAAGTATAGTATTGATAAGCTATGCTAGACAATGTAGCTAATAGATTGAAGAAAATTTGAGAATATCCTGTCTATATGATAGTTTTTCAGAGCAATCCCATTGCTGCTGTTGTCTGTTCCTGTGATACTGCTCAATAACGGCACTCCATCTTCTCTTTGATTATAATACATTGCCAGTTAATACTTCCTACAGTGCAAATGTTTTTCTTGTTAGGATGTACATGTGCTACTGAAATAATGGGGGGAAAAACAGATTGCTCCACTGTGTCATTTGCTTCATAAACTAGTTTCAGTACATTCTTCAGCTTTTATCCAGTACAGATACAACCTGAAACAGATCTTTTTTTCCCCCCTTCCACTGACTCGCATGACTCCAGATCTGATCTGGCATATGAAGCAGATTTGGTCTATACAGTTAAAATCCTGTCGTACTAGCAGATGTCTGTTCCCATACATTATAGATCTTTGTGTCTAAAGTACAGTTTCACAGCCATGCTCATTACATGTCTAATAATTTATTTCATATCACATTGCTCCTAGAAATATCTTGATGGTCAAATGAAAATTTTAATCTGCTTTGAAATAGAAATAATTCATTAGGGCAAGTTAGTTGGATAGAGAATAAATAGCAAGTAATTCAGCTGACATGTAATTTATCTTTAAATATTCTCTTTGAAAAATAGAAAATTCTGCTTTTCTAGATAACTAGTATGAGGCTTAACCTATCTGCCTCTCTGGAAAATGGACTTGAAAACAGGGAGAGTTTTTCATTCTTATTTGATAAATTCAAATGAATTCCAGACATCCAAAGGATAAACATTATTCCTCCTTTCTTTAGTCAATTCAGTGTTGTCTCTAAGTGGATTCATTGTTCAATTTCCACCCATAAACTAGAGAGGAATACTTTAAAACACTGTTTCCCTTGTTTATACATAATTCAAGGTTGAAAGGAAAATCTGAGAGAATCCTCTAAGGACCTGTAGTTCTCCCCCTCTCTTTATCTACTTACCAGTAGTTTTCTAAACTATCGCTTCTTTGCTTCCTATCTATTTATTTTGTAGCTTATTGTGGAGACAGTAATTACAAAGCAAAAAAGAGGATAGGGAGATTTCATTCCTTAGTGATTCATTTAATGCTCAAGAAAACTTAGACAATTTAGTTTTCCCCTTGGCTTGGTGTATGTGAGTAGCTCTTTGAAAAATGAAATGTTCTACTTATCTTAGATATTTGTGGGTGAAGAATTTTTTTTCCCACTTTTCTTTTGATTTAAGAGCAGAGGCTGCTGCTGTATAGATTCAGCAAGTTGTTTCTATATACAATTGCCTACTATTTTTACTACACAGATGGTACCCAGTTGTGTACAATATTGGCACAAAATTGATTTGAGGACCTATTGCTCTGATTATTTTTCCCTTTTTAAAGAAAGACACATTGTGTAACTGGTTCTTCATGCAATTAGTCCCTCTTTTCAGTCTGAATCGCTGCACTTAAGAGGCTACTTGCATTTTGGTAGTCAGGAATTCTACTTTACAGAATTAAGTTTTATCTCATTTTAATGTGTGCTAGGTCCTCATTCCCTAGTGATTAGGAATACAGCTGTCTTCTCTTTAGGATTAATGCCTGTAAGAAAGAAAGTTTACAATTAAAAATCAGTGTCCCATTGTACTATATGGGATGTAAGCATATGAGAGTTAAATTATGGGAATTTTCTCAAATAGAAATTCAAAATTGCAGAATGTGAAGCTTCTTCATAAATTAATATCAATTGAAGGATTAATAAAAAGCTTCATTGTTAGTATCTTCATCCAAAATGTGATCTCAGCAAAGGATAGATTTTGTACAAACACAAATTTATGTGAAGTTTATATACACGCTAACTAGTTGATAGAGAAACTGTAATAGGAGAAGTCAGTGCAAATGAGGCTGCTTGATTTGAAATATCATAGATGAACTTAGGTTTTGAATATTTAAGAGATGAAAATATTTGCCCACAGTAGACTCAAAAGATACTCTCCCTGTAAAGACGCATTAAATATTTTAATATGCATTTCACTTAAAATCCAGCATCATTCCATTTTCAAAATGTTTGGTATTAAAAACAGAGAAACGTATATGTATGTGCATGTGTTTCTTTCAGAGATGAAAGATGCCATGTTAGGGCTACAAAAGCTTCTTATTAACGTTTTCTTTTTCAAAGTTCAGTACTGACATTCAGTTACTTTAAAAAAAGTAATTATAAAAGATCAACACTCACTTCTGATATGGTTTGGAAGTTGTTTGGATTCTGGCTTAAGTTAAATGTTGAAATTAAAGTAGGGTTATGCTTAGAATTTCTTAGAACCTGTACTGTTTCTTGAAGTGTTAAGACTGAATCCAGTTATAACTCAGTTGTGATAAAAACAACAGAAAACAATGTAATAGTTTAGTTGCTATTTATGTACAGTCCACCTCTTTTGGCAGCACTTATGGACAAACCTTATGCAGGTCTATTCAATATAAAATCCCACTTTATTCAGTCAGAGTTTATCCAAAGAATAAATAGGATTGCAAGTTGAATGTTTAATAACCCCAGTCTGATTATTCAGGAAGGACTGCAATTGTAGTTTGTTGATAGTACTGCCTTCAAAAGTGGAGACTGTGTTCAGAAATGTTTTGTCTTGTTTCTTCTAACGGTACTCACAGTCAATTCACATAAAGAAAGTAAACAATAATCTTCATCAAAGCTTTAGTGAATGTTTAGATATTATTTACAGTTAAATGGACTAGTCATGTCTTAACTCAAATTGAAATTCAGAATCAGTAAGAACAAATGAAGGGTCTCTTCAGACTGGAATAAAGATTCAACTAATTCAGCATTTTCCTTCCCACAGTGACCAGATAGGATATCTAACTCATAAACAAGGCATGAAGACAATAGTTTTCTTCAGCTGTTTGGTTTGCAACTGGCATTTACTGCCTAGAAATGCCATACAAGCATGGTGGCTGATAGCCACACATAGAGCATCTTCCAAGAATTGTCTCTAATTTAAAAAAAAATTATTCTGGAAGCCACTGAAACAGAGGGTACAAGAGGAGATTATAAGTGCTTTTGATAATGCAGAATATCCTTTTAAAGCTATCTGTTAGGCTTCATACAAGCACAGCTGTAAATCTCAGCTCTCTAGACATTTAATCCCTTATTCAGGAATCAGCGTACTTGGCAGAATACTCACAGACTTGACTCAGCAGGATTAGTCTGTTTATTGCAGACAAGAGCGAAGGCACATTCACACAGAAATCTGCCCATTGTAGGACACCGAAATCAAATTCAGTATATGGGCCTATGTTCCAGGGTTTAAATGCTAGGCTTTTTCCTCTCTTGGCTATTCTTTTGATGCCCTTGGAAGGCACCTGATCTACACTAACATAACAATTATCTTTAGCTCAGGAACGACTGGTTCCTACCTTGCAGCCTTATTAATTCAATTATAAGCCAGCAGACCTTTCTACATCTATGCTGTTTACAGTAGCATATCCTATAATATAGTTATGCGTTACATAAACAGCTATTTTCCTTTGTGCTGTCAGTAGTTTCCATAAAGGAAGAGTAGAACCCCTTCTTCTGCTTTCTGATTTTCTAAATTCAAAAGCACCCAATGATTTAGCTTGATAGTGTGGTTGCCTACATAAATTAGAAGGAGGAAAGTGCCAAAGAAGAATTCAGCACTTCCATATTGCCTCACTATTTTTTATTTTGAAATCCTGCAGACATACTAATACATATACTTTCTACAACCACATCTGAAGCTGGGGACCTTTTATCTCCTATAGGCCTGTGGTATGTCTAACCATAAATCCTAATTGATTCTGTTTGTTCTCATCCTATTGTTTCATCCTATTGTTTAGCAGACTTTTGAATATATTTTCCAAGAACAAGAAAATAGAGATACAGGCTCTTTTTTGTATTTGGCAGATTTCTCAACAGATATCACTTAAAAGTTTTGTTTTGCCTGAAAGGCCAGTTTTCTTTCTTCTTTGTACCAGGCATGATTGGAGCCAATGTGAAAGGACATAACTTGCCCTGTGAAAATCAGCCAATTACTTCCCGATTGGCTGTAATATGTGGGACATCATCATGCCACATGGCGGTAAGTTTGGGGTAGTAAGTTGCCAATTGCGCCTTTTAACACCTTTAATTTTTTTTATCCTCTGTTTTGAATTGTTGTGAGGATTTTGAAGGTATCTCTATTGTTACCCTCACAGGTTTATATATCATCATGAATTTGCCATAAAGAAGCAGCTGTAATAGAAAATCAATACTGTGGAAAAGGCACAAAATATAAAAGCAAAGTTAAAAATTATTCTACTCTGACTTTAACTGGGCATTATGAAATTATAGCTGGAGACTTGGGCCTTGAATAACCGTTGATGAGCATGACGCTACTCTATAATGGAATATTCAGTGTTTTTAGAAAAGCCCCTTAGACCTTCATTTCTCCCACCTCCTTACTCAATCAATATAAATCTATCTTTCTTTGAGAGCTCTAATGATCTATAGAATTTTGAGACAGATTGTGGCTCCAAAAGAGGCAGGATAAGCCATTTTTGCTTCCATAATTTTTCTCAGTGAATTAGTGTGAAAGCTTTCCCCTGGAGTTGTAATTACAGCTTAGAGTGTCTCTTTTTAAAATTAATATTGTTAAGCCTGAAATCATTCAATTTTTGTGACTACCTTTTTTATCATTTTTGATTCATTTAGAAATTATTTATGTCAACTCAATCATTATGTGAAATTTGATAAAATTGATATATGAAGCAAAAATGGATTTGTATATGCATTCTTTACCAATTATAGTGTAAACCTTTTCGTATTTTTTATATAAATTAAATTTGTAGTATAAATTAGAGTTGTATAAGTTGGTTTTTGTAAGCATACATATATGTGTATGCATGCATATGGGAAATAACTGTGATGTAATAATGTATTACTTGCAACAATATTCTAGTAACTTAGCATTCAGTTATAAAGAAGAGAATTTTGATCCAGCTGTTTAGATGTATGTGTTTTAGCATGAATTATAGTTCCTAGCAAAGGAGAAATTGAGTCTACTTGTGCCCTAGATAGTTTTGTGGTGGTGGGAAATTCTTCTGAACTCAATTTGAAATAAACCCAGCCCAAATAAATCCATCTGGAATCATTTTGTGGTCTTATCCCTTTTTCAGTTTCCATCTTTCCTTTCTTATGGTCCTATCTCAAACTTATGAGAAGCAGTAAGCAGGAGAGCTGGTAACACTGAAGTCTTGGACTTAAAGCTTGAGTCTTCTTTTAAGTATACTAGCAAGAAACAAAGGCAAAATGTTTTCAGTATTTAAAAATATTATGTATTGCTCTTAAAATCTATGTAGTTGCTAAGAGTCAACACCAAACATCGAATTGGTGGCACATAATCATCATAATGAATTACTGTTAAAGGAAGTTGTTTTGTAGGAAAAGTTATCTTGTAGAAGAAGAAAAAAAAACCCTCAATGACATGTGTTATATCATCTTATAATTAGCATTGTGTGAGAATTGCTATTGGTAAGCTTACTGACTTGTTGCTCTTGGTGGGCCTGTAGAAAAGAATTGCATTGTCAGAGCAGGCAGTGTGATTTCATTCATTCATTCATTCATTCATTCATTCATTCATTCATTCATTCATCGTATTTATATAGCTACCCATCTCACAGATTTGTGACTCTGGGCAGCATACAATAAAAAAGTCAATCATAAAAACTAACAATTAAAAATTCAACAATTAAAACACAATCAAAGTTGCTAATAAGTAGCAGAGAGAGTTATTGTTATGATCAATAAAACCATCTTACTAACTGTAGTGGAATGTGAGAATGACCTTGGAAGATATGGGGAGGAGGTGCTGCCTAGGGAACAATCTGATAAAAGGAGGAGGAGCCCCCAGTTGAGTAATGGACAGAGAAAGAAACTTAGAAAGGACCCACCCTAACTGATCAGGCAGTAAATAGGGATGGTGGGAGATTTGTACTTTCAGACTTACAAGATTCTGTTACTGTAGCCTATCAATAAAGTAGAAGTGGCTCATCTGGTCATGTTTTCTATCTGGTTTACCTGGAGGGCTGACACTAATTCCCCATAGGCTGGAGACCCCCAAGCCTGTTGGCACAACCATGTTTTAAGGGACTTTCTGAAGGATATTAGGGATGGGGCTAGTCTCACCTCAGGGGGAATGATGTTCCACAGGGCGGTTGCCATGGCAGAAAAGGCACGCCTCCTGGGTCCCGTCAGATGAAACTTCTTAGCGGATGGGGCCCATAGCATACCTCTTCTGCTGGACCTAATGGATGGGCAGATATAATCAGAGAGAGGTGGTCCCTCAAATAACCCAGCCCCATTCCATGAAGGTGTGATGGACTGGAATGGAGGAAGGGGGGTGAAAATGGTGCTCTCGTCTCCAGAGCAACGCTCTGGAGACAAGCAG